TAATGTGAATTTTTAAAAGAAACTAAGAGCCTATTATACCATTTTTAAAAACCCATTTAAGATATTGTATTGTGTGTTAATACAGACTTGATCTTTTTTAAGTTGTGCTTTCAATGAGCTGTTTTAACTGTGTGTGTATGTGTGTGTGTATGTGTGTGTGTGTATGCGGATGCATGTTTGTTTTTTTGAGTCATAGGTGTTAAACTTTTCTCTGAATTTTGCAGGCCAGTCTAGCATGAATTAAAGAACACCGAGGAAGTTAAGATTCACTTCACAAGTCATCCAAAACAAATAAAAAGTGGCCTAGAGTAACTATTTTTTTTTTTTGTGAACAAGGCTATTGTTTGTGGCAGAGCAGGAATAAAAAAACAGCCCCTTTCTGATCACTGGCATAATCCTAGAGTAAGCGGTTTAAGACTATTGACCTCTTTCCCTTTCTTCCATTTCTTTGACTCCCTTATACCTGGATAGGTGACCACTATTTGTCAGATCTTAAATAGCCCAATGTCTAATTATCTTTAGTCATTATCCAGGACTTTCTCCATGGTAATGATTCTGAGCACTGTGCAGAGAATGGTTTGGAGGGGATAGCAACTGGAAAGAGGACGAGTTCAGAATCTGACAGCAGTCCAAGAGAGAGCTAGTGATGTCTTGCACTAGAGTGGTGATGGTGTAGATAAAGAGAAGTGGTCTATTGTATAAGCAGAACAAACAAAAGTTACTCAGAGATTGGAAATGAAGCACAAGGAAAAGAAGAACCAAGGATAATTCCAAGGTCTGTGGTTTGAGCAACTGGGGGTGGGGGGTGAGAAACACTGTAGGATGAGCAGCACTTTTGCCGGGGTGGGGAGGGGACATCAAAAATTTTCCTTTCGACATGGTTATTTTGAGTGGCCTATTAGAAATCAAATTGGAGGTCTTGAATAGACAGTTATCAGGAAATAAATATGGACTAAAGATATAAACTTGATAGTCATCAGAATATGGGTGCTATTTAAGGTCATGCTACTGGATTTATGGGTAGAGTATAGACATAAAGGAAGATAGAGGCAAGTAACAAGCCCTCAGGTATTCCAACATTTAGAGGTCATGTAGCAAAGGAGAAGCTGGGCCAGCAAAAGGAACTGGGATGGGTGATAGAGAGCAACAGGGGAAAAACCAGGAGACTGTAATATCATGGAAGCAAAGAGAGAAAAGAAAATATTTCAAGAATTAGGATATGGTTCACTATATAAATGCCACTGAAAGATAAAATCAGATAAAGACAAAAAGGCAACACTGGATTTTGCAATATGAAATGGTTGATTACCTTCATAAAGTGCTTGTGAAGGCAAGAAAAAGAAGGGTCCTGAGCACGTTTGGAGGATTTGGTCTTCCATACAACAGTTATCCATAATAGAGTATGTGAATACCAGATGCAGGTAGGCTGGTAAATTTGGTTGTGGAAAGATGCAATAGTTCTCTTCTGATCATTCCTATTTTCTTAGTGCAATAACAAGTGAGGCCAGCCACTGGGAATAAAGAACATAGAGAAATTGGAGGTTTGTGGAGAGAGACGGTTGAGAGAGTAAAAAAATTAATTAATTGAGGGATTGGAGGATGGCCAGGGAATGCTGTTGGACCCTTTGGAGATTTTTTTCTCATAAATTTATTTTGAGAAAAAATTCATAGAACCTGCAATTTCAGGTTCATAACACTAGAACCTGAAATGCATCTGAGAAACTCAGATGCAGCCTTCCATGATGCAGTCCACTCCTGGTACTAGTTATTGTTGCCTTAGATGGAGCCTGAATCTGTACCAATTGGTACAACTTTAGCAGCATTGGAAAAGGGGAATGAATAGGATGACCTCTTCATGACCTCCAATATATGGAGCATTTAGGCAGGCTATCCCTGATAGATTAGATGGACCAGGGTGTCTTCTTGCACACTATGATTTTGGTCTTTGAAATGCCATCAGAGTTCCAGCAACTTCTCTTGATTTCTTTACTTTTCCAACCCTCAGATGATGTTTTGTTCTTTGATCATGTCCTAACGGCCCCTCCACATGGCTTTTCCTTTATCCTTTGAAACTGTCAGGCTGGACCATGGTTTAATGATATACTGAACACATCTGTCCCACATACTCCCACAATGTCAGCCTCCCTGCGGGTGGTGAACAATGCAATGAATAATAGTGCCTAAGTAACATCAAATAGGGTGTTCCAATGTTTTCTGAAATAAGATATGGAAGAGGAATTTCTTTTGATACAGAAATTGGAAGCCACATCGACTGTATTTCTGAAAAACATGGTGAGGCTCAGCTTTGGGCCCAACAATGGTGATTTTAATGGAGGTTTTAAATGGGACTAACCAAGATAGTCCCATTTATTGTCAGTTGTTCCAATGTAAATATTAACAGTTCTCCCTGTCACACTCATATGTGTTCTTGTTTGGACAACTAATTATATGGTCACTTCAGAGGTCTAAAATATCTACTAAATCTGGAGAAAAGTGTCTTCAGTACCTAGCTGCTATTTTTTGGGACACTCATGTGCTCATAAGAGTAGGGTGCCACACTACTGTCACCACTACTCCTAGGACCTTATCTAAAAAAAAATCTCACCATGTTAACATGGCCATGCTTCTGCTCTGTAATTTCCTACATTTAGGCTCTATTTTACAATTTCCTACTCTGAGGTTCTGCAGTATGCCATAGCTGTATGATGATGCAGGTATCTGTATTCATCCTGTGTATTCTGTGTCTGAGTTACTTTTGTGGAGTGTATTTTCTCTGGGCATAAGTGTTTAGCACTCAGTGACAACAGGAAGTAGAATTTATATTTACCGTATTTTGTCACCTGTAATGTGCACCTACATTTTGTGTGCACCTACATTGTGTGGTTTTTTTTCTTTTGCCCGTTGTTATACCCATGGTATATGATCATTATATCCACAGTATGTAATCATTATACCCATGTATATTGTGCATCCTTATTTTTCCCTTAAAAATTTGGTAAAAAAAGTGTGCATTATACATGGCAAAATATGGTAATCCTTTTAGTTGGAAGGGTCACTTAATGGTTAGAGTGACAGCTAAAATGAAACACTTTTCTACATCTACCTAGTTGAAATCAAGGGCTAGGTCTGGATCAATGTGTTTAAATTCCACTGAAACTAGAAAAATTAAAGATAAACAACAGATCCTCTACATGTTGAGATCCCCCTACCACTTTCTGTGGGATCCTTCACCCCACTATATTCATGCTGCTGAAGCTAGAGAATTTGGTTATGGCCCCCAAATCCAAATTTTAGATAGGCCTCTTTGCATCATATGAGGTATACTACTGTCTCTTGCTTGCTACAGGAAAAGTCCTGGACCAATGAACTTCAGTCCTCCATAAAAGGGAAGATAGCCCCTTTAAGACCTGATGTACAGAATGTTCAGAATCCCTTGATTCTGTCCACTGTGACATCACAGAACAGAGCCAGTGGTGCTGGCTACAGGCCCACAGGGAACTTCATAGCCAAGTTGTTTTTCAATCAAGCTTTCAGGAATAATGATTTTCTTGTTATGTTTTCTTTTGGTTTTTTGTTTCATTATAAAGAAGATTACAAAAAGAAAGCAGAAAAAGAAAGCCCCAAAACAGAACACAGATTGTTAAACAACGGAGGAGTAATAACGGTCTGTCTCATTCTTCCTGTTTGTATTAGTTTGTTGTTTAGATGATAAATAATCTTTATCTTATCTTTAACATTGTTATCCATCTGAAATTAGCCACCCCCAGGGGTAGTTGTAGATATAAGCTGATACTTTAGAATCAGTCATGGCATTTATTTCACATACTACTTAATTGTTTAAATCAAAGTACAAAGGATTATTTTACAGTCTGCATCAAATTTCCCCATGTCAAATTATGTCTGTCAAACTAGCTATGTAAAACTGTCCATTGAAATGGCCATGTCACAATGTTATAACTAATGGTTATACATAATGGTCTGGATCTAGTGTTATATGCCTCATGTTTGTGTCAAAATGCTAATTTCTTGCTTCAGTGCCTGCTGACTACAATTTACTCTTTTCTTCTACACTTACTCAAAGTACAGTCTTTAAGTACCAAGTCTTTAATCAATGGATTTATATGTGTTTTCTTCCCTCTAAAACTCTCTGGCTGTTTGATGATTTAGGTCTCTGTATTTACCCTGTGTATTCTGCATCTGAGTTCCTTTTGTAGACTATTTTCTCTGAGGATATGTCTCTTACACACAGTGACAATAGGAAGTGGAATTTGTATTTAATCCTTTTGGGTGTAAGGGCCACTTAATGCTTAGACTGGCAGCTAAAATGAATCTTCCATTTGTATTTCCCCTTCAGTAAGCCATTCTCCATTGTAGGTAGGTAAGTAGACAAGTAGATAGATGATAGCTACATAGATACATATATATATATAGATAGATAGATAGATAGATAGATAGATAGATATAGAAATAGAGGGATTTGCTAAGGTATCATTGTAATATAAAAACATTTGTGGGGATGGCTGGGGTGGGGAGTGGTGGTGGGGAAATGGAGACAACTGTATTTGAACAACAAAAAAAATTTTTTAAAAAGAAAAGGTACAGGGAATGAGTATCATAAATGGTAGGTACAAAATAGACAGGGGAAGGTGAAGAATAATATAGGAAATAGAGAAGCCAAAGAACTTATATGTATGACCCATGGTTGTAAGCTAAGAGGAGCGGGGGTGAAATTCTGGTAGGGGAGTGCAGGGCAGAAGGGAATAAAGGGGAGAAAAAATGGGACAACTGTAATGGCAGAATCAATAAAATATATTTAATAAAAATTGTAAAAAAATTTGCCTTTTAGCAATACCTTTGTCATTTTTAAGGATCAGGCCTGGAGATACCTGGACATTTAGATATTTAATATACCCAGTCTCTGTGGGCTGTTGTATCTCAAATTTCCTTAAAATCATGGCTAACACTGTGCTCTCTTCTTTTTAAAAAAAATCTATGTGCAGAATCCCTGGAGCTTAACCCGTCAGAATGGCCTTCCTACAACTCCTGTATCTCTACAGCAGCAAATCTCTGGAAGAGATTACAAGTAAGCTATGGCTTAAAGAAATATGAATGTTTGTAAATGCTAAAAGAGAAAAAACAGGATCTTATTTAGAAAGAATTTTAGTAGAGAATTTTATGTATTTATTTTTTCAGTAGGAGGCAGGGTTGCAGGCAGGAAGGGATACAGTTTCTAACGATAAATATTTACTGGTGTTCATGCCAGAGCAGAATGAAGGGACTAGCCAGAGAACATATATGCATGATGCAGAGGCACAAACAGCAGAGTTGGACGATGGGAGGACAGGGTCTGGGAGGAGGAGGGCAAAGGGGCAAATGGAGACATCTGTGACAGTGTCAGCAGTAAAAATGAAGTGGAAAAGAAGATAACTCTTTAACATATTTCCTCAGAAAAAGTCAGCACTGATGAAAATTAATGCGTAAGACTTGTGAAATGGTGCTTCCTTCATTTGCCTACCATAGTAATTTTTCCTATATTCCACAAAGGAGCATAGAAAGTACCCCCTACCAAAACCCCTAATTTTAGTGAGAAACAGCATAAAAGGAGAATAATTTTCTTTATATTATGAGGATATTATTATTTTATCTACTTCAGCAATCTAATGTGACTTTTGGATGTTTGGATGATTTCATTTATTTGTTTTCTATAAAATATAGTGATAATTTATTTCATCATAACTCAATACTGTGAGTTTAATTTTTTAAAGTATCCTAAAATTTTTCATGTTTATTTTTTTCATTTAAAATAGCTTCATGATTCATAAAGAAGACAATCCAAACATCTATCCATCTTATAATTTGAATGGCTCTCCAGGGACAGCTAAACCTGAAGCAAATTATGGGAACAAGTACTCCTCAACCATGTACATGAAGCCACTCTTGGTATGTATCAGGCATTCAATTTCTATACATGGTTATCATCACAATAATTTAAGTAAAGATAACATGATGATCAGACCTTGCTAAAACAGAATGATAAAACAGAATTAGTTGTGATACAGATATGGAAATTTAAGTTTATTAGAATCACTATCATTACCTCATTGTGTAAAATGAGATTAAGAAATATGAGTCACAGGTATGGTATATATAATATTTTATGGTATATATAATTATACCCACAATTCCCCATAATTATATATGTCCTTATGTGTATAATTATATATATATAATTATGTAACATAATTATATATATAATTATATACATAATCATATATGTCCTTATATGTTCTTATGTGTATAATTATACATAATCATATATGTCCTTATATGTCCTTATACTTATGTGTATAATTATATATATAATTATGTAACATAATTATATATATAATTATATACATAATCATATATGTCCTTATATGTCCTTATGCTTATGTGTATAATTATATATATAATTATATAATATAATTATATATATAATTATATACATAATACAAATTGAAATGTTATATATACATTAATATAAATTGAAATGCTGTATATGCTCTATAACACATTTCTATATTGAAATGTTATAGAGTATATATATTGAAATGAATATGCTAAATATTATAGTATATAGAAATTTTTGTATAAATATTTATGATATATAAAAATTCTATGTAAAGCATTTATGAGTCATATGAGAATAATGAATGGAATAGTGTATATAATATTTGATATGTGTTAATATACTATACATATAAATGTATTTATATCTTACTTAACTTTACAATCTTTTGAAAGGAGGTTAGAGATCAAAGGAAAAGTTGGTTAAATGCCATAAGACTAACTCACAGGCCTGACTGGTCTTGTTAACATAATCATTGTATTATCATAATTTAACACGGTAAATACTTTTTTTGTATTTTAGTATACTTAAATAATACATTAAATAATACATTGTTCAAGCTAATGGTGAACATTTAGCTAAGTGCTGATCTCTACTTAAAAGACATATTAATGTAAAGTGAAAACTGTGTTTCTTTGTACAAGTTTTTAAATAGCAGTCAGATAAAAACAGTGAAATGGATGATCACTTAAATGTTATCTTTTATGAATTTTGTTGACAAATGCAATGAATTACAGGGAAATAGAATGAATACCTGGTGTTTGTTGACATTTTAAGGGTTTTTATTATGGTGGGACATTTTTAGTTGAGTTGACCACATGAACAAAATAATTTTCCCCAAAAAGTCCACTATGGGGAGAGTGATAGCACCAAGATGGCAGCCTAGGTCGTTCCTGACTTTACCTCCCCTCGCAAGAAAAATAACTAGCAACCATTCATGAACAAGACACAACTGAGACAATCCTAGGACACATGAGGGATGCTGAAGCCAAGAGACACTGCATTAGATGGTTAACAGAAGTGGCTACACAGTGGCCACATTGCTCCACCCCAGGCCAGTGCAGCGCCATGCAGAAGGGCCTCCTCTGAGTCTCTGGTTCCTCCAGTAGGAAAAGAGAGCCCAGCACTATGACCAGGGAATTCACTGAGAGGCATATTTGCCTGATTTGGGTCCTCAAAGGAGGAGTTTTTGTGGCCCTAGACCCTGGTTTGCGCACAGTTAGTCAAGGCGCTGAGTCATAGACCTACCCACCAAGGAGAGTGTTTCCTGGCCTCATCTGGTCAGACGAGCTGGAGAGAGCACCTGGAAGCTGTAGAGCCTCATGGTGCTTCAGCTGAGCAAAGAGCAGAGCGGATTGCCCCCAAAGAAAAGCCAGTAACCAGACATGGAGGGCTTCCCTGCTATACCCAGGCAGGGGGATTAATTCATTAGCCAAGGTTGACAACAGCTCTGAGCACCTTCCAACTAGACAATTTGTTTGGAAGAAAGTAGGAGAGGCCTGGAGTAGCCCCTCCCAGTCCAGTCCAGGCAAGGGAAATGATACAGACCCCTACCCAATGTGGGGAGTGTCTCCCAGCCCCGTTTGACCAGAAGGACTAGTCAGAACGCCTGGAGGCTAGATAACTCACAATATCCAGCCAAGAGACAGGCAGGCTGATAGCCTGCACAGCAAGTTAGTGGCCCTGTTCAGTCAGGGAACTTGAGTGTGGTTGGCTTGAATTAAGACAACAAACACAGAGCATTACTGGCTTAAGAAGCTGCTTCTCACACTGTGCTTGGGAAAGAAACTAATTCCCAGACCTGCTCATTCATAAATACAGCTGTTATGGGAGAAACTCCCAGAAACTCAGTTCTTCTCATGGATGCAGTAAAGAATTACAGGCCAAACCCATAGTGTTCAAGGGAAGTTTATGAATACTGAGTTCTAATAGGAAAGCAAAGCAAGGGTGGCTACAGCAGGGTTGGCAAAAGTGGGATGGCCAGAGGCTGGGTGGCCAGCACCTGGATGGTCAGGAGCCAGCTGACTACAAGCCGGATGGCCTAAAGGGGTGGCCAGGCCCACTCTGCTCCCACCAGCCAGAGGCCGGCTGGCCAAGGGTGTTGCGAGAGAGCTACAAGGCCAACAGAAGAAGCTGAGAGAGGGAGTCCTTTGTTCTGAGGACTTACATGGTTGGCGGGGTGGGAGTGAGGGAGTTACACATTGATTGGCGGGTAAAGGTGGTGCCAGCTCTCTAGGGGAGATATGATGACCCAAACGTAGGTGTGGGAGGGGGTTTGTTAGCCCGGGTGCTTATCTTGCTCCAGACTCCATTTGTTCATCTTGCATATTTGAGCAGGCAGGCAGTTACCCAGAGCTGTTTCATGGGCTTTTTCTCTGGGTATTGTGGCCCCTCCCCTTCCCCCTTCCAGGCCTTGGGATGACCAGACCATCTCAGAGTTTCCTTTTCCAGCCATGGGAGCTGATACACAGAGACTTTCAAGGTCTGTGCACTATCATAGTTTCACTTGTTTGTGACGCCTGTCAGCCTTATCGGGCCAGGCTCAGGCTTACTGGGTCTACAGATGAGACATGTCTCCCTTTGCTTTTAGCTTCCTGGATTAAGTTCTTTGCTAGATTGTGATGGTGAGGGCTCTGCCTTTCTTTACCCTCTGGCTGCTCATTCCACTGTAACATTCCCCCCTAAAGTAATAGGGACCTCAATCTTTGCAAACTTTGTGCTCAGGGCTTCTGGGTCAATGGGTGAGACATGTCTCCCTCGTCCCTGCCTTGGTTTGCTGCCCACCCTACTGAATATTCCCCCTGAAGCATTTGGAACCAAAATTTGGGGGGTTGGGGGTTGACAACTGCTCTGGCTGCTTCCTGCTGTAAACGGAATGTTCAGCTTTCTTTGGGTTCTGTTTGCTTGCTATCAGTCAGAGGAGGTATGAGGAAGTGTTCTTCCATTAGCCCATGGTAGATGTCTGGAGCCTCCTGTCCTAGAGTTTGACAGTTGTTCATGATGATTATCTGTAGCCTTATAGTCTCCATCCTAGAACAGATACATTTAGTTAGTAAGTTGTCAAATAATAACATTATTGCTATAATTAATAATGGTGCTGCGTGGTGGATCCAGGGCTTGATTCCTATCTGCTTTAGGGAAGAATCCATTGTCAACAGGACTTCATAGGGACCAGGTGATTGTTAAGCCAGCTGCTGTTCAGGGTCTTGAATCTCCCAGGTCTTTAATAAGAGTCACTCCCCTGGCAGGAAAAAGTGCAGGGGCTCATCCAGTGGATAGACAAACCTGCAATGAGCAAACATGTGCAAAATGGTTAATTCACACAAAAACCTACAAACTAGTTTCTGAGTCTGTGAGACTGCCTTTTGGGAAGACACCCAGTTGCAAGGCCTTTGCTGGAATGACCTTTAACAGTGGCAATTCAGAGGTCCTTAGTGCCTGTAAATTGAGCATCTTTGATGATATTACAAATCCAGTTTTAACTTCCAAATGAGAACAAACATTGAAGACAGCTGTACTAATCTAATGTCTACCACTGAGCATTGTGATTTTCCTTGAATCACCGTTTTTTCTTAAAATCATCCTTATTGTCATTAAAGAGACTACACCGAGTCCAGTTTTAATTTTGCCTGTTCATTTGCATAAACACAAGAGCAGCAATTGATCTTTAAGTCTCCTTTGCTGGTACTCACACAAGGAATCTTTATTTTTATTTTTTATTGTTGTTCAAGTACAGTTGTCTCCATTTCCCTCCCCCCACCCATCCTCACCTCCCACCCTCAATCCTACCCCCTTTGGCTTTGTCCATGGGTCCTTTATACATGCTCCTTGACAGCCCCTCCCCTTCTTTTCCCCATTGTCTCCTCTCCCCTCTGGTAACTGTCAGTTTGTTCTTTATTTCAATGCCTCTGGTTATATTTTCCTTGCTTGTTTTGTTGATTAGGTTCCACTTATAGTGAGGTCATATGGTATTTATGTTTCACTGCCTGCCTTACTTCACTTAGCATAATGCTCTCCAGCTCCATCCATGCTGTCATGCAGGGTAGGAGCTCCTTCTTTCTCTCTGCTGCATAGAATTCCATTGTGTACATGGACCACAGTTTTTTGACCCACTCATTTACTGATGGGCGAGTTGCCTGTTTCCAGCACTTGGCTATTGTGAATTGCGTTGCTATGAACATTGGGGTGCATAGGTTCTTTTGGATTGGTGTTTCACGGCTCTTAGTGTATAATCCCAGCGGTGGAATTGCCAGGTCAAAAGGCAGTTCCATTTTTGGTTTTCTGAGGAAATTCCATGCTGTTTTCCACAGTGGCTGCACCAGTCTGCAGTCCCACCAACAGTGCACTAGGGTTCCCTTTTCTCCACAGCCTCACCAGCACTTGCTGTTTGTAGATTTTTTTATGATGGCCATTCTCACTGGTGTGAAGTAGTATCTCACTGTGGTTTTAATTTGCATCTCTCTGATTGCTAGCAATACTGAGCATCCTTTCATATGTCTTGGGACCCTCTGTCTGTCCTCCTTGGAGAAGTGTCTGTTCAGGTCCTTTGCCCATTTTATAATCGCATTGTTTGTCTTCCTGGTGTGGAGTCATGTGAGTTCTTTATATATTTGGGAGATCAGACCCTTATCCGAGGTATCCTTTGCAAATATATTTTCCCATGTGGTTGGTTCCCTTTTCATTTTGCTGATGTTTTCTTTAGCTGTGCAGAAGCTTTTTATTTTGATGAGGTCCCATTCATTTATTCTTTGCTTTATGTCCCTTGCTCTAGGGGACATATCAGTGAAAATATTGCTGGGTGGAATATCTGAGATTTTCCTGCCTATGTTGTCCTCTAGGACTTTTATGGTGTCATGGTTTATATTTAAGTCTTTTATCCACCTTGTGCTTATTTTTGTGTATGGTGTAAATTGGTGGTCAGGTTTCACATTTTTGCATATAGCTGTCCAGGTCCCCCAACACCATTTTTACTCCATTTTATGCTTTTGCCCCCTTTGTCAAATAATAATTGACCATAGAGACATGGGTTTATTTCTGTATTTTCTATTTTGTTCCATTGATCTATGTGTCTGTTCTTACGCCAGTACTAGACTGTTTTGATTACAGTGGCCTTGTAATATAGATCGATATCAGGTATTGTCATCCCTCCTACTTTGTTCTTCTTTATCAACATTTCTGCACTTATTCTGGGTTGTTTACAGTTTCATATAGATTTTTTAAATGTTTGCTCTTTACCTGTGAAATATGTCCTTGATTTTTATTAGGGATTTTGTTGAATCTATCAATTGCTTTGGGTAGTATGGACATTTTGATGATGTATATTCTTCCAGTTCATGAACACAGTACATGCTTCCATTTGTGTCTTCCTTAATTTCCTTCTTCAGTGTTGTGTAGTTTTCTGAGTACAGTTCATTTACCTCCTATACAAGGAACCTTTAGATTGACTCTTTAGTCCACCCCTCAGAGCACAGAAGCTGAGATACACACCTGCCATATGGTCTCACCTGTAGTGCCTGCTTCTCTCAAGTCCTCCTAGCTATCTTTCAGGAAAGCAACATTTGTTCTTTCCCTGGAAAGACCGCCATGGTTTTGTGAACCAATGTCAACCCAATAAAGTCAATAAAAAAGATACAGAAAAGTCTATAAAGTAAAACAATACATAAAAATAAAAACTTAATTTCCTTCAAAAATGAGTGATGGTATAAATATACAATGGAATACTATTCAGACATAAAAAGGGAAATCCTATCATTTGTGATAACATGGATGGACCCTGAAGGCACTATGCTAAGTGGAATAAGACAAAGACAAAGAGTTTAGTACAGAGATTCTGGGTTACACAATATCTAAACTTGTCTGGTGAATTATATTACAAGTGCTGCATTTAACGTTTATTCAAAAGCAGCCAAAAATTGATTTGCTAAAAGAAAATATTTTTGTGTTATTTTAAATCATTAAAATTTATGGTGGTGATTAAACAGATTTCTAAAGTGACTCATATTATATGCTCATTTTTCTAATAACCATATCTAAACAGAACAGAAACTTTATTAACCAATGTCATTGCAATAAATTTAATAATAAAAATTTTATTAAATGCCATTAATTTACATTTGATATTTTTAACTTCTTGCAGAATTTTTCCACACCAGGACTTCCAAAGTCAAACTACATTCCAAGAGAGAAACAACAAATTGGATACCCAAGTTCTGAAGAGCAAGAAATCCCTTATAGGATTGGCCGTGTGCAGATAAAATCTGGCTATTAAAAGTTTCTTGCCATCAATTCTTATCTCTTTTATACCTTTAGCTTTTCCTTTCCTCTCCCCCCTGTGACCACAAAGCAAACTTACTTTCATTTCCAATATTTAACTTCATTAACTCAGTAGGGGAGGTAAATACTTGTTATCTCTAAAATTCAGCATAACACTTGGTTCCTGATTTATGGCATGTATCTTTATAAATTGCTCAGTGAAATGCACAGAAGGATGGTTACAAATTGCTTTTAGGAAATTTTGAATACTTTAGAGTTACTGGGTAAATCTAAGAAATTGCACCAAAGCATCAGCATGTAAATATGAATTTTATTTGAAATGTGCAATATGATTATACAATAATTCCTTAAAATAAACTAAGAATTGCTAAATGATTTCTGTAAACTAATCAGTGCAGTGGAATGATCCCAAGATCTGGGTTCCCCTTTCCTTTTTTTCCTTTCTTCCTTTCTTTCTTTGCTTCTTGTATTCCTCCTTCCTTTTGTATGTGGAATCTAATGAAAATAAACTGACAAACAAAATAGAACCAGTGGCATGAACACATGGAACACACTGACAGCTGTCAGGAAGGAGGGAGAAGGGAGGATGGAAGAGATTAGCCAAAGAACATAGATGCATATATGCAAAGCCCATGAACACAGACAACAATGTGGTGAGGACAGAGGGGTGGGGATAGGTGGAAGAGGGCAAATAGGGGGAAAGGGGGACATGTGTCATAGGGTCAACAATACAAATAATAATAAAATGAAATAAAAATAGAATTAAAAAGTACTTATTTGAGGCCCTGGCCAGGTAGCCCAGTTGTTTAGAGTGTTGTCCTGACACACCAGGTTTTGGGTTCAATCTCCGGTCAGGGCACATACAAGAATCAACCAATGAATCTTTAAATAGGCAGAATAACAAATTGTTTCTTTCTTTCTCTTTTTCCCCTTCCTCTCTCTCTCTAAAAAAATTATTTAATAAAAAAAATAGTTATTTCACACGAACTCTGTGCCAAACACTGGTTAGTTACTGATGTACAAAGATGAAGCTGAGCTAGTCCCTGGAGCTCAGACTGGTAGAAGAGACAGAGGCAAAAAAAACAAACCCCAAAACAAAAAAAAACCACCCCAAAACACTTATTACTCAATATGATCAATGCAATAAAAAATGTATACAAAAAAGTAGAAAATTTCAAAGAACAACTAATAAGCCTAAGGAGAACTGTGATGATAATGGTAGAGAAAGAAGGCCATAAAAAATGAGGTGATGCCTAAGCTGTTGTAAAGGTAAGTGGGAGTTAGCTTTATGAAGGGAGGCTGGGAGAGAGTTTTTGAAAGAGAGGAAGCAAAAAGCACAGAAGTGAAAACCAACGTGGAGCATGCAGAGACCTTCAAAGAGTGTAAAAGTAAGGAAGAGAACAGTGTACAAAATGAGGCTGAGGAGATAGTCAAATATGTCATGGAGGGTCTCAGATGCCTTGTTTAGACTAAATCTTTTTGGTGATGGAAATACATTGAAGGATTATAAGTAATCATAATCAGATTTTATGGTTTAAACTGATTACTCTGGTGGCAGTGTAGAGAATGGTTGTGAAGAAAATAAGATGAGAGACAGGGTCACCAGTTAGAAGGCATAGATGATGAATCCTGTAGCTGGAGCAGTGAGGACCTAGAACAGGGGTGTCAAACTCATTTTCACCGGGGGCCACATCAGCCTCGAGGTTGCCTTCCAAGGGCTGAATGTAATTCAGGGCTGTATAAATGTAACCACTCCGTAACTAGGGACAAGGACCTCGGCGCTGCCGCTGGGTAGAAACAAGGTGCCAGGCCAGATAAAACAAGGTGGAGGGCTGGATTCAGCCCTCGGGCCTTCTGTTTGCTGCCTGTGACTTGGAAAGGCTGATCTAGACAACCTCTAGGAAGTACACCGATAGGATCTGGAGGCTCAAGAGATGTCACCAATGGGAGGAAGAAGTTTTTCATGATTGAAAAGATGTTGGCACTGTTCAGGGAGGTAGGTCTCTAACAGGTCAGCAGGTCAATAAGCAGGCTAGGTGGGGGTAACAATAAAAAAAGCTGGAAGAATAGGGGCAAATCAATTCCAATGTAAACCCACGACTGCCAATGTAAACCCACTCAATTGGGCCATTAACATTACCCAGTCATGTGATCACAAAATAGGTCAGTTTCTAACACCCCACAGTGATTATGTGGCATCTTTCCCTGAGCTCTAACCATCCTCACTTTCGCACCCCCCGTTCTCTGGAGATGACCTCACCCTGTAATTTAAAGAGTCAATGGAACCCACCAGACAGGAACTCCCAACCGTGTAAACCGTGCTGCATTCACTCTCTTTTTCAAGGTGTCTCATCCCATCTAACAGCGGCACCTTTACCTCCCTCTGAACCCCATCCTCCCTGCCCTGTACCTTGACATTGCTGCAAGTCCCTTCCTTTTCTCCTGGGTAACTTTGACCTCTCTCTCTCTACTGGCTCCACCTTATCAGCTAATATATATTAAAAGTAAATAAAAACCCTCTATGGAAGTCAAAAGAATACGCTTCAGAGCCCTCTAACCAAGGGCCCAAGCTACTGTGCTCTGAAATCCATCTTTGCATTTGCCTGGAACTTATGCTTCCCCCAGGCTGCTCCTAGTTTGTGCCAGAGACAAGGCTACTATTGTGAGCGCATTCCTGAGAGTCATGGGACTCACTCCTCTGATGGAGGGCTTCTTAATGGCTTTGCTGAACCTTCATTTGATTGCACAACAGTCACAAACATTTCCAACTTTTCTTCCCTTTCTCCTTCATTCCAGGCCAGACTCTCTCAGACTTTTAAAGATCCGTCCTCCCTTTATTTCAACTGTTATTTCCTCAAAAAAGTCATTGCATATTCTGACCCCATAGCGTGATGTTTGCTTCTAGGAGGACTTACTTAAACATCCACCCTTAATACTGTATCCGCTGCAAATTCACTGCTGTTTCCTTCACACTCAGGCTTCTGGAATGAGTTGTGTACTCCCTGTCCATTTCTTTCTCTTTCTCTCATCTCTCAGTTCACACAAATGTAGTTTGAATGCCTACCACACCTAATATCCTGTCCAAACTGCTCTTAATGGGGTCATGGATAACTTCTGTGTCACGAAATCTGTGACTTATAGTCTTTATTGTACCTCTCATCAGCATTCATTACCAAGGACCTTATTTGAAACTTTCTCTTTCTTTGGCTTTGTGAGGCCAGGGTCTCTTTGTCTTATGCCTAACTCTTTGCTACTTCTCAGCCTCTTTCGCTGGCTTCTCCCCCTACTCAATTCACTATTGGACATAGGCCCTTTTTTCTTTTTACTGCATTCACTCCCCATAAGCAATTTAATGTCACCATTATTGTCATTATCATCTGCAATAGCTCTCAATTCTGTATTTGCAATATCTTCCTGACACTCCCATGTGGTTATTTGCTTATTGGACATCTCCACTGGGATATCTCAAAAGCACTAAAACCTTAATATTTCTAAAAGTGAGTTCATCTATCTACTTGCTTGTATTTTCCCCCCCTTTGGCTACTGTAACAAGTTTTCAGGAACTTAGTTGGTATATAACACAAATGTATTCTCTTACAGTTCTGTAGGTCAGAAGTGTGAGTGCCTCTGACATGTAAGGTATGGATGTGGCTGCATTCCTTCTGCCATGGGAAGGAATCCATTTCCTTGCCTTTTCCAGCTTCTAGCCACTGCCCACATCCCTTAGCTCATGGCCCTCATCAATGCCAGCAATGGTGGAATGAGTCCTTCTTACACTGCACCAATCTAAACGCTTCTGCCTCCCTCTTCCATTTTCAAGAATTACATTGGTAAAGACAAATACCATATGATTTCACTCATCTGTGGAATCTGAAGAGCAATATAAGTGAACAAAGAAAACAGGAACAGACTCATACAGTCAGAGAACAGGCTGATGGTTGCAAGAGGAAAGGTGGGGTTGGAGAACTGGGTGGAAAAGTTTTAGGGATTAAGAAGTACATACTGATAGTGACAAAATAGTAATGGGGATGTAGAGTATATCATAGGAAATGTAGTCAATAATATTATAATAACTATGCATGGTGCCAGGTGGGGACTGGAAATATTAGGGACAACACTTTTTGTAAAGTATATGATTGTCTAATCACTATACTGTACACCATACATGTGGAAGTAATAGAAAATATGCAATGTAAACTAAAATTAAAAAAAATAAAACATAAAAAAGTTAAACTGGATCCACCCAGATAAATCCAAGATAATCTCTGTATCTTTAGGTCAGCTGACTAGCAACCTTAATTCCATCTGAAACCTTAACACCCCGTTATCTTTTAAAGTAACATTCAAAGGTTCCAGGGATTATGACCTGGATGAATGTGGAACAAGGATATTATTCTGACTATTGCATAAGATAACAACTTAAGAGTCATCATTTGATTCTTAATCTCTTTAGCAGTCCATGTCTTTTAGGATTACATTTGTGTACAGGATAAAGTTTAATTCCAGTGCCTTCAAGAGATAGGTTTACTTATTTCACATAAACTGAAGTCTTGAGCTAGGCATTCTGGTGCTGGTTCAGATCCTCAAGAATATCTTTCTAGTCCACTCTCCTCAGCATGTGGCTTTGATCATCAGCGTGTGACAACCATCCATAGTTACACGGTGATTGCATCAACTACAGCCTTCCGTCCATGTTTAGGAGGAAGGGGTAATGGCAAATGAATAAAGGGGTGAAAGGCCAAATAATTGTCAACCGTCCATTCTTGAAAACTTTCATGAATGTCCCTGCTCAGACATTTCCCCTTACACCGCATTGGCCAGAAATGGTCACAAGGGCAGTCCTAATTTCTAAATTAGTAACTTGCTTTGATAGTAATGAGGGTTTTGTTAACAACAGGGAAGGAGAGAACAGTATTGTAATAGTATCCAGAAATGTCTGACACATACCCCAAACACAATTCTGAATACTTGCTTTTTCTCTTACAAAAAGGCAGTTAAAGATGGATAGATGAGCCCTCGCTAGTGTGGCTCAGCGTACTGAGTGCTGGCCTGCAAACCAAAGGGTTGCTGGTTGGATTTCCAGTCAGAGCATATGCTTGGGTTGCAGGCCAGGTCCCCAGCAGGGGGCGAGGGGCGACCACACATTGATATTTCTCTCCCTTTCTTTCTTTTTTTTTCTTTTTAAATTTTTTTTAACAATTTAACTTTTTTCTTTTTTTTAAGATTGTATTTATTTATTTTTAGAGAGGGAAGGGAGGGAGAGAGAGAGAGAGAGAGAGAAACATCGATGTGCAGTTGCTGGGGGCCGTGGCCTGCAACCCAGGCATGTGCCCTGACTGGGAATTGAACCAGGGACCCTTTGGTTCATAGGCTGG